TTTTAATAATTTTAATATCAAACTCAACTTTTTATATATATCTAACTTAAAAATATTTTTTTATTGATAACTTAGGTATTAAAGTTTTTAATCCAATTAATTTCATGTGTACTTATAACTCATCTCTTTCTCAGAAACTAGTTAGAAAGGTGTTGTCATGGACCTGTGGCCATCCGTCACTTTATTAAAGTCTTCGTAAGTTGGACTGTTTAATTTATTTATTAAAAATAATTTAATAATTAATAAAATAATTAATATTTATTATTTAATAAATTAAAATAAATTTATAAATAAATATTTTTAAAAATTGTAACAAATTATATTTTTTAAAAATTATAGATTAATAAAAAAAATGATTGTCAGTCTTAGCTCTTAAAGATTAAGAAATAAATTATTTTAAAATTACGTCATTTCAATAAATTTATTTTTAAAAATTGTAACAAATTATATTTTTTAAAAATTATAGATTAATAAAAAAAATGATTGTCAGTCTTAGCTCTTAAAGATTAAGAAGCAAATTATTTTAAAATTACGTCATTTCAATAAATTTATATTAAAAAAAGCTAAATTATTATATTTTTAAAACATATATTAAAGTAATTTTTTTTTTTTTTAATTTTTTAAAAATAAGATAGATAAATACTAACTCTTAATAAAATATTACTCAATATAAATATATTCCTCGGACAGAACTGGAATAGAATTTATTACGGCCTCTTTCGTCATCTGGATACGTTATCATGACTCTGATGGGGGATTTTTTCCTCTCTATATATACCTAAATCATGCGTTTAACTTCTCACAGCCAAATCTAAAGCAAGATACACTGCTTTTAATCAAGAAATGGCTTCAACCCTTACTACAAAACTTTCTTATTTCCTGTTGATGTTTTTGTTGATGATGACATGGTCATTTCAAGCCATGTCCCGCAAACTAGACGAAGAAACCATCGTTCAGAAACACAAGTTGTGGCAGACTCAGCACGGACGTGCTTATGTGAATGAAGCAGAAGAGGAGAAACGTTTTAAGATATTCAAGGACAACCTTGAATACATCGAACACTTCAACTCCTTAGGGAACCAAACCTACGAGTTAGGCCTCAATCAATTTTCAGACTTAACTAATGAAGAATTTGTAGCCTTATACACTGGATATAAGGAGCCTCCCTTTACAGGGTCTTCAGAGAAAGAGATAGGTTTTCTGTACGAGAACCTGACAGAAGTCCCATCTAGCATGGACTGGATAGGAGCAGGAGCCGTCACAAGTATTAAAGATCAGGGTATTTGTGGTAAGAAAAAAATATTCATGGAATCTTCTTAAGCGTATGTTTGATTTCAGGGAAACAAAGGGAGGAAATGGATGAATTATTTTAACTAATCAGATTTTGACATTGGCCAACGTTATAATTTGATTTATACAGTTTTATTTGATTTGTTTTAGGTTCTTGCTGGGCATTTTCCACTGTTGCTGCGGTGGAAGGGATCAACCAGATTACGACAGGTAACTTGATCTCACTGTCTGAACAACAGCTGGTGGATTGTGTTCATAGCAATAAAGGCTGTCGTGGCGGTTGGATGGACAATGCATTTCACTACATTATACAAAATTCAGGTATTACTACTGAAGAAAATTACCCTTACAAGGGGAAGGATAAAAAATGTCATTTTAAGAAGGGAGCGATGTCAACTGTCACAATCCATGGCTATGCAGATGTTCCTGCAAACAATGAGAAGGCGCTGCTAAAGGCTGTAAGCAAGCAACCTGTCTCAGTTGCACTCGACTCTTCAGGCTTTCAGCTCTACTCAAAAGGAATTTTTAGTGGAAAATGTAGGACTCGTCTAAATCATGCTGTTACCATAGTAGGGTACGGGACAAGTGAATATGGTACTAAATACTGGCTGGCGAAGAACTCATGGGGCAAAGACTGGGGTGAGAAAGGTTACATAAGGATCAAAAGAGAGGTTGATGCGCCGGAGGGTCTTTGTGGTATTGCCAAAAAGGCTTCTTATCCAATAGCTTGAAGAGCTGGCTAGTTTAGTACCCAAAGCACATGGGGCATATCCTTGTTAAGTTCATCACCTCTTAATTTTTACTACTTTGTTGTTTCCTATGAATAAGTGCATTGGTGCTCTTGTATAAGTAAAACTAGGCTCTGAAACTGTGTTATGCACAGTTCGTTCATGTTGTAAAATTTTAGTAATTGTTAAATAAAATTAGACTCTAAAATTGTGTGGTTGGTTTGTATTATATCTTTTTAATAATTATTAAATATATTAATTTTGAATTAAAATTGAAATTAATTTTTAATTAACTAATATAAAAACCATTTCAAACAAATTTTAATTTGTTATAAATAGATATTTAATTTCGATATCAATTAAAATTTTTTGAGATAAACATAATATAATAGTTCATTAAATCTTCAATAATTTCTTTTATTTTTGCAAAGATCATGTTCATGTGATTTAAAAGATATATATCTTTTAAATCACATGAAGATATATATTAGTTTTGAGCTACACGCGGAGTTATGAAAATCCAAACAATTCATAATAAAAAAAATACCAAAATGTTATCCCTAATCCAACAAAGCTGTGTTTTTTTTCAAAGTATATGACTCTGGTTTCCACTAAATACAGGTGACACAATTGCATTTTACAATCAATATATGACCATTTATGCTCTTCGTGGGAATTAAGTAATTCTCAAAGAAACTTCGTTGGTGTTTACTCGTGGACTAATCTTGTAATTAAGAATTAAATAGTAAGTCAACGTGCTCTCCACCTGTGGACTTTGGCAATTAAAAAGCCACTTTGCCTTCGGTGAACACCAAAGCACAGACAGAGGTTCTAATTTCATCAATGTTTTGTAATTACCCCACCCCAATGCCCCATCCTTCACGATCACTAAAGTTAAAAAATAAATAATAAGTCGTGTATATATATGGAAAGGAATACATATTAAGAGCATAGGGTTTGTCAATTCCTATGAAAATTTGGCATGTAAATTTCAATATAAAATTTGAATTCAATTTAAAATCAATTAATAATAGGTAAAATAACTTTTCTTATATCTTTTCAATGTGAGATTGTCCCACTAAATAGTTTCTACCAAATTTTGTGTTCTCTCAATAAACATCTAAAGTAGAAGACTAGGGTGTGTTTAGTTTGACTAATTATATTAATTTGTAAAATTTTGTAGTTAAACAATTAATTATGGTATTTAAAATGATAATTTTATAAGTTGAGTTTAAATTGTTGAGTAACAAATATTGTTTAACTATTAACTATTAATTATTATCAATCGTTTCTAAAAGTTAAATAAAAAAGGGCCTAAATAGTTCTCTTTTTATCTTTTTCAAAAAATAAAAGTATTTTCATTTATTGAGAGCTTTTATAGATATAGAGCCTAGATCTTTGTAGCGAGAAGAAAAAGTGCAAACAAAGATGTGAATATTATATATTTTTAAATTTAAAAATATTAATTCTGTAAGTTTTAAAAATGTAAATTTTTAATTTTTTTATTTAAAAATATTAATTTTTAATTTTTTAATTTAAGAATTAATTAGATAATAAAATTAACATCTTAAATAAAAAAATGTTAAAAATTAATGTATTTAAATTAAAAAGGTTAAAAATTAATATTTATAAATAAAAAAATTAAAAATTCACATCTTTATTTAAAATTAATTAAATTAACATTTTAAAATAATATATATAATTAATATTTTTATTTACACATTGTTCTCTCTTACCGAGAGTTGCTTCCATCTTATAACATAGGATTCGGTGAGTTAAATCCAAAGTTGGCTTCTCTTAGCCCTGGCCAGACCTCAGCTAGCCAGCTTTTACTAGGCAGGATTGAGTAGTTTTTCAGTAAGGCTAAAGTTACTATAATATTTTTAATAAACCATCCTTGATCTATTAATTAAGGGTATACTGGTTATTAACTTCAGTCTCATACTAACAATTTCCTTAGTTACGGCCGGACTTAAAAAAGTACTTCATCCACGAAATTGCTAGAAGCTTTATATTAAGTCAAAAAGAGACAAACAGAAAACTATTGTGTTAGCCTCGTGGCCATGTACCATAATTAAAATTACCCATCTAGCTATCCCACGATCCACGCTTCAATAATGGAGTCTAAATTATTCTCGAGATTGTTGACTGCTAACATACTGCCATCCCTTTCGTTGACTTCTAATTTGTTGTTGAGTTCTGCCTAATTAGCCTCATGATCCACTTCAGCGTCTTTTCATTGCACCGTAGCCCAGAATTACAACATTACATAGTTGATGAATTCATTGGTTCTTTCTTTTTTTTCTTTTTTCTTTTTTTTAATAAGGATCCATATACAATGCTGTAAATTTAAAGAAATATATGATTTAAATATGAAAAAGGCTACTTCATTTAGTGTTAATTGATTTTAAATAAAATTTAAGTTTTATATTAAAATTTATATGTTTAATTTTTATATAGTATCAAAATTTAAATGCTATCTTCCAAAAATTTGTTGTTAGTTTATGTAACAGAACTTAAATATCAAGTCTACGTGTAAGGAAGCAAATTGGTATCCCTTTCAAAGCAAACATGATCTTTAACAAAAATTGTGAATGGAAAAAGATTAGCATTACGCCATTGTCTTCTCAAAGCATATTTGAAAGGAATCGAACTTCGCCTCAACTTCAAAATCACTTTTTTTTCTTTTTTCTTTTTTTTTTTAAGTTTGTGGGTAAAGTAAAACTTGGCTAACTCTTATTTATGCTTTCTAACAGCAACTGCTTTTTTTTTTTTTTTTGAAAGGAATCGAACTTCGCCTCAACTTCAAAATCACATTTTTTCTTTTTTCTTTTTTTTTTTAAGTTTGTGGGTAAAGTAAAACTTGGCTAACTCTTATTTATGCTTTCTAACAGCAACTGCTTTTTTTTTTTTTTTTCTGCTTTTACATTAAGAGTTAATTACTCAACATTACATGAGTTTGAACATTTAACATTAATACAAAATTAAAAATTTTAAATTAATAAATATTAATTTAACTACACTTTTGTTGGTATAATTACCTTCTAATAACACTATGTTATTGTCCCTCTTGTCATTGCCGAAGCTATGTGATAATATAAAACTTTTAGTCATAATCCGAAAGAGCTCGCACTATTTCCAACTCTCTGGCCCCCAATGAATTTGACCGTCAACGTCTAACTGCAATTTACTAATTGCCACAAAATGCATTTGGTGCCTTTCATCCTAAAATTCTCGTTGTATAAAATTCATTTGGTCATCTGATTACGTTAACAAGACTCACATGCTTTCTTTCTAGGCTCCATATGTACCTGAATCAATTGTGCTTAACTTCTCACACCCAAAATCTAAAGCAAAAGACATTGTTACCTCTTAACCCTTGACCCTTTTTCAACTTTGTTAAGAATGGCTTCAACACTCAATAAAACAGTTCCTATTACCCTGTTCATGCTTTTGGTGACATGCTCATTTCAAGCCATGCCCCGTGTAATGAACGAAGAAACCATCGTTCAGAAACACAAGTTGTGGAGGGCTCAGCACGGACGTACTTATGTGAATGAAGCAGAGGAGGAGAAACGTTTTAAGATATTGAAGGACAACCTTGAATACATTGAAAACTTCAACTCCTTAGGGAACCAAACCTATGAGTTAAGCCTAAATAAATTTGCAGACTTAACTAATGAAGAATTTGTAGCCTTATACACTGGATATAAGGAGCCTCCCCATACAGGATCATCAAAGGAAAACATAGTTTTCCTGTACGAGAAACTGACAGAAGTCCCATCTAGCATGGACTGGATACAAGCAGGAGCAGTCACAAGTGTTAAAGAGCAGGGCATTTGCGGTAAGAAAATCATGAAATCTCCAATTCCCTAAATTAAGCTTGTTGTTGATTCTAACTTCTGTCTTTGCCTTGTATAGGTTCCTGCTGGGCATTTTCTGCTGTAGCTGCTGTGGAAGGAATCATTCAGATTAAGACAGGTAACTTGATCTCACTGTCTGAACAACAGCTGGTAGATTGTGACATAATGAGTACTGGCTGTAGAGGCGGCTGGATGGAAAATGCATTTCACTACATTATACAAAATCCAGGGATTACTACCGAAGCAAATTACCCGTACAAGGGAAAGGATGGAAAATGCAATCTTAAGAAAGCAGCTATGTCAAATGTCACAATACATGGGTATGTAGATGTTCCTGCAAACAATGAGAAGGCGCTGCTAAAGGCTGCTAGCAAGCAGCCTATCTCGGTTTATGTTCATGCAACAAGCAAAGGCTTTCAGTTCTACTCAAATGGAATTTTCAGTGGAAAATGTGGGACTGATCTTAATCATGGTGTTACTATAGTTGGGTATGGGACAGCTAAAGATGGTACTAAATACTGGCTAGTGAAGAACTCGTGGAGCAAGGACTGGGGTGAGAAAGGTTACATGAGGATCAAGAGAGATGTTGATGCTCCGGAAGGTCTTTGCGGTATCGCCAAAAAGGCTTCTTATCCTATTGCATGAAAGGCTAGCTAGTTTCACCAAAGCATTGATATCTCCACATATACTTCATGATCACTACTACTTATTTTGAATATGTACTACGTCCTTTCTGTTTCCTATTATGCTTGCTCTTGTATAAGTAAAATTCCAGTGAGCCCTTAATAATATGTTGACATCAACATTGTAGTGACTTTAATTCAAATTTGTCGTGAATGAATATACAAGGAATTCAAAGCCTCAACAAAAAACTGTCAGTTTTTCGTGTTAACTACACCCTGACACAGGCCTCAGCTTGCAATTAGAAGGTAGGGCTGAAAATGAAACTGGAACTCAAATGCTGAATTGTTATCCAACTTACGAAGCCCAGGTCTAGGCTAACAACAAGGTCCAAAAGGTCCAACAAGGACAACATCACTTGTTGGACCAATCTGTATGTACAAGTCCAACATGCTCCAACTTCTTCTATTTTTGTCAATTCTCAATGTCAACCTTGTACAGTTGCTCATGTAACCTATGTCATTTACGAACATAATTTTCTGTCAAAGCCATACAAAATAGTGTTTTAAAAATTAAGAAAAATTAATCATTATAATTATTAATTAATAAAATAATTTATTTTTATTATTTTTAATAATTTAATATTAACTTATTAGTTAATATTTCCAAATATGCACTTACCATATTATTAATCGTGTCGCCACAACCCAGCCCCCAAAGAGCCTAGAATTTCTTTTTTTTTTTTGGGTGGAAAAGAGCCAATAATTTCTTTGCCGTGCATTATGTCACATGTTGGATACAGAAAAAAAAAATGGAAAACTATAATAATGTTCTGTCCGAGAGTTCACTTACAGTAAAAAGAAAATGTGAAAGGAAAGGGAATAGTCCGTAGTTATAACTATTAGTTGCTATATAGAAGAGCGGCAGTAGTTAAGGTCGTATAGTTATTTGTTATGATTATATAATTTGTTTAATTTTTATTATAATTTAATTATTAAAAATAATTAATAATTAATATTTATTATTTAATATATTAAAATAAATTTATATATAAATATTTTTATACTTATAACTAACTATTTAACCAAAAATAAAAAGTTATAAACTTATAAAAAATAAATAGATTATATGCCCATAACCACTTCCTAAAATAATTGATATTTAATCATTACTTTAACACATTAAAATCAGACTATAAATTAATGTTTTCAAGCACATAATTAACTATATATTTAAAAAAGAAAACACCTATGACTTATAAAATTAGCCCAATTAAAGACACCTACATTTATCAAAAAAAAAAAAAAGGACACCTACCATATTATGGGGCCATAACAAAATAACGTATTGCAATAACCAAACCCCCAACGAGCCCGTAATTTCTTTGCGGCGCATTATGTTACAAGTCGGGATACAGAAGCAAATGGAAAACTATGAGCTTGTTCTGTCAAAAAGTTCATTTACAGGAAAAAGAAATTGTGAAAGGAAAGCGAAAGCTATGTGTTGCTCACGAGGAGGAATGCATTTCCCGTGACATGCAGATTGAAGCGTCCTGAAAAGGAAGAGATATAGTAAGTCTGTTAAGTGGCAACAAAAGCTTAAAAATATATAGGACAAAAACAACAATTTTGACCAATAATTTGTTGGTTTGAATGAAATGAGTTTGTTAAAAAAAAAATTTATAAAATCTAATATAACTCAAATTCAAATTAATCAAGATCAATATAATTTTTGGATAAAACAAAAACATAAACATAAACAAAACAAAAACAACAATTTTGGGTCCCTTCCCAACTTCCCATCCCCAAGCACACGTTTAAATTAATTTGGATGCTTTCAATAGAGCCAATGCATGTTTTTCTATATATGTCTGGGAGTGATGCTCTCTTCTGCACAGCTAGCTTCAGTTCAGCTTGTATCGCGCGCACATTGCTATCTCAGAGCAGCATTAATCTTCTAACAATGGATTCGACACTCAAAACAAATTTTCTCATTGCAATATTGATGACTCTGGGGTGTTGGGCATCACAAACCACCTTCCGCACATTGCCTGAGGCTTCCATTGCTGAGAAACACAAGCAGTGGATGACTCAGTTTGATCGCATTTATTCAGACACTGTAGAGGAGGAGCTGCGGTTGAAGATTTTCAATGAGAACTTGGAGTTCATTGAAAAATTCAACAGTGAAGGAAACCGTACCTTCAAACTCCGCATCAATGAGTTTGCAGACTTAACTAATGAAGAATTCAAGGCCGCTTACACTGGATACAAGATGCCCTTCAACTCAAGCGTATCCAGAAACTCGACTTTTAGGCATGGAGGCGTCACGGACATTCCATCGAGCAAGAACTGGGCTGAGGATGGAGCTGTTAACAGCATCAAGAGTCAGGGACAATGCGGTGAGAATCTAAACTGAATAATGAATTCTAAAGTTTACTGTTTACATAAACATTTATACTGAACCAGATTTCTGTAACTGGTGTAGGATGCTGCTGGGCATTTTCAACTGTAGCAGCCGTAGAAGGGATCACAAAGATCAAAACTGGGAAATTGCCCTCTCTGTCCGTGCAACAGCTAGTGGACTGTGTTGAGGAGAGCCATGGCTGTGGAGGTGGTTCAATGGATATTGCTTTTGAATATATCAAAGATAACCAAGGAATATCCAGCGAGCAGAACTACTCTTACCTGGAAATAGATGGAAAATGTCAAACAGAGGATGCATTCATGGCAGCTGCCACGATAAGCGGTTACGAAGATGTACCCAAAAATGACGAAGAGGCATTACTAAAGGCTGTAAGCCAGCAGCCAGTATCAGTTGCCATTGAAGCCAAGGGGTATCTTTTTCAGCAGTATGATGGCGGTGTTTTCACTGGAGATTGTGGCACTGACCTAGACCATGCTGTTACACTTGTTGGGTATGGAACTAGCGAAGATGGTATCAAGTACTGGTTGATTAGGAACTCATGGGGAGAAAACTGGGGAGAGGGTGGCTACATGAGGATTCAGAGGGATGTTGGAGTCCCAGAAGGTCTCTGCGGCATTGCGATGAATCCATCTTTTCCAGTTGTCTAAGTAACACCAAGGTTGGAATAAACTTCTTTAACCACCTATACTATAGTGTTTTCCTTCCACATGTAAGCATGCCTGGGGACTGAAAATGCCCAAGAAACTCAAACTACCCGATCGTATTATAGCATTTACTTGGCTATAAAAATGGCAGTATACATGCATGTTATCTGGCTACAATCTTAGTGAAAAATTGGAACCACTAAGTAAGGAACAATATTCCTTGAACAAACTTCAGCCGAGGAAGCAAGGTGGAAATCATTGTGAATGTCAATTAACAACAATTGCATACATGAAACAACAACAACAACAACAAAAATACAGACGTGATCAAGTTCACCTAAATCATCTAATGAGTCAATGAATATCACATTTACCTGTCGCAGATAAAAGAAGAAATAATTAGGCATGGTTCCCTCCAATTTGGATAGGATATGGAGGGTTGTAGGATCGATTGCCTTCATAACTGCTACTGGGTAAGCTTTGGGTTTAGGCTTTTGTATCAAATGAAACCCAATGAGGTGAATGAACGACTTATTTAAACGTGGGCCTTGTTTGTATTCTATCTTTCAGCCCGAAGTCGGAGACCTGGCCTGGCTCAATTTAAGGCCATCCTCCTATTGCCAATATGCGATTTTAATCACCCATGCTTAATTTATGGATTCAAATATGTCTAATTTGCTCCATTTGTTTCAAAAACAACGAAGTCCGAAATCATGAGCACATAAAAGTTACCTTGACTTTTTCTTCTACCTTTTTTTGATGAGAAATAGATTTATGAGAATTAAGCATGAATTTGAATAATACTCTCACGTTAATTGCCAGTGGTTTAGCAGCAATTTTTTTTTATCTTTTGATTAATTTAATCAATTAATCAATTAAAATTTTTTACGTGTTAATAATTTTAAAATAAATATTAATTTTTATAATTTTTTATCTAAATTAATTATAAGTATTTCTTACTTATATCTTAAGAATATAAGTTAAAATAACTTTTTATAATAAATGTATATTAACAAATATAAAATTTAATATTAATTTTAATATCAACATCAAGTAAATAAATTTCATGAAAGAGTTGATAAATGATAAATGCATTTATTATATATCTAATCTATATCTTTAGAACATATATTAGATAAACTCAAAAAAAATAAGAGAGAAAGAAAATAGCATTAATCGATAGTCCTAGATCCATTTCCAAGCAATCACAATAAATGTTGGAAAATGAAGTAGTCCACAATTTCTCCTAGCTAGGGAAGTGATTGGGAAATGAATATTGACTTGCTTTAATGACCTTTTAATTAAACTCACCTCAGTGGCTCGCATGGGAATTGTTATGGCCATTTAAATAAATAATAAAGTTACATAAAAATGTTATAAATGTGTTCAATTTAATGGTTAAAAATAATTAATAATTATAATTTGTTAATTAATAAAATAATTAATATATATTATTTAATAATTTAAAATTAATTTATAAATTTATATTTTTAAACACTCTAATTAATTATAAACTAATAAAATTAGTCAAATCAAATACTACCATAATATTTGTATTGTGTGGCCTTTGGCCGGTTAGCATGGCTCGGTGAAGAATATACCCATTAGGTGCCATCACACAAATGAGAGTAGACTAAGCATTGGGTATGAAAAATGCATTTTTTTCTAAACGTCGAATCAAGTACTGAGTACAAGAATTTATATTTGTATACTTGGGGTGTAAACATGACTTATATATATATATATATTAATCATGATTTTGAGAAGTTTATGAATTCACTTAATATATTACTAATTTTTTTCTTTTATCTACTTATGAAAATTGTTTCTGTTTTTACCTTTCAAAAATTACGTTGAACCTTAATTATAGAAACAGTTAGCAATATGAGTATATTTTAATCTCAAACTAAAATTCTTCATTAATTTTTTTTTATGAAAACTAAAATATTTCATTAATTATATAGAAATATTATTACAATTATATAGAAGGTGCTTAACTACATTAAAATTTTATAATATAATGATCATATTCTAGTTCTATACTTAATTTTATAATATAATGTAATGAAATAAGTTCAGTTATATTTTAATTTATTTCGAAAGTTATAATATTTAATAAGTATACAAGTGTATCAATAGGTCTACCTATATCTAGTGGGTTGGGTAATGAATTTTTCAATACCTAAATAAGTGGTCTCAGTTAGTAAAATTGCCTTTCAAAAAAAAAAAAAAAAAACCCTTAGTAAGTAATTAATAGATATCAAGGTGGTGTCAATTTCCAAATCTTTGTGCTGATGGCATTTAGACTGCAAAATGTAACCCTTGTCTTCCCATTTCTCTTGTAAAGGTAAATACCCCTTATACTCTTTTAATAAATTTTGATTCATAAAAAAAAAAAATTAATAGATATCAAGGTCTTATACTCGTTACTATTCAAATTATGTATAGATATAAATAAATACGTGACTCATATCTGTACCAACTCATCCCTAACTGAGACATTTCCATTTCCAATCAATCACAATAAATATTGGGGTCAAAAGATATAAATTCTGAAACCTTTGGCAGCCATGGGAATCTAAATCTGATCTGTACCAAGGGCCTACACCTAATCTCACGTCATTGCTTGGCATGGAAACAACATATTTGGGCCCTGCTTAGCACAAGTGTAATTTTCTTGAAAAAAATTAGAAATTAAAAATTAAAAAGACCCACTGAAAAAGGAACTTGTGCAGTTGAGCCACGCCCATGATGCACATCATTGTCTAATGTTTATCCATCCAGTCATCAATGCAATGCAGGACATATAAAATGAGTTCAGCTCATATTAATTAGCTTCATCAAACTAGCAGCCCAGAAACACACAAATGCAAACTGTGGGTACTCTTGTTTGCTCCAATTTGAAGTTAGTTATTATGTGCTTTAATTATATATAACTGAAAGTCAATTGACGGTCCCAAGAGGTACGCTAATGTAATAATGTTTTTTTTTATCAAAAATAGAGTTTTGAATTCAAATTGCGACATTAGAATAAAGAAAAAGAAAAAAAAAACATAAGAGTTATCTGTTAATTAACAAATGAAAAAAATAATAATAATAATGTGCATAATTAACCATATCTAGGTTAGTCAGTTAACTAGTTAGATAGGCTGAGTATTTCTTAAAAATTAGTAATAACTTCCAAAAACTTGAGAAGATTAGTAAAAGTTCCTTTTTAAATTAAGTTAAATATAAATATAATTTAATCTCTTATACTTTAATTTTAAGTTACGTGTCTTAACTAATATAACTTTTATATTTTACTTTAAAAATTTTAAATTTAAAGTAATGAAATAATTTAATAAGGATTAATCTCAAATTTTAGTTTCGGTATAGGGGCATCCCAACAGTTCACGCGTATGATTGTGAGTAAGCAAATTGATATCTCAACTAAAACTTGTACATGGGAATTGGGGGAAATGGATGCGGACTAGTGCTTGGAATTATTGTGGCATTATATATGTATTGCTTTTGTAATAAGCAACTTGTATGTAGTGAGGCATCAATTAAGCATTACTTCAATTGACTTGGTCTCCAAAATATAGGTGCAGCCCGTCCCCCCTCTATGGTGGACCTGCTTTTGACTCTTTTGAAAGTTTTCATGATTATGCCCTGTATATTTCGGCTCCTTTTTGGGCCACCACTCTAGACTTGGTTCAGAAGTGGTGGGCTGCAATTTGCAATCGTGCAGTACACATAATCTTATCATTAACTGATTCCAATATCACCCGCCACCAAAGTCTGCCTCAACCTTTCTTTCTATGTATCAACTTCATACTGCTCCAAAAGCTTGATGGGTTTTAATAACATTCCCTGAATCATACGTATGAAATCAACAATAGATTCCGATTCGAGTTTAGCTGTGTATAAAAAAGACAAAAATGAAACAAGAGTCCCTTTAACTTGTTTTTCTTCTCGAAGATAAAGACTTCTTAATATAGAAATTTAAATTTTAAATTTTAAAACAACTTTTAATTAAGAGATAAAAAATAGCATATATAACAATGCATCATAGTATCATGGGTGCATGATTGTTATAAATTTGACAATGATATATTAGGTCATTTTCTCGAAAAAAAAAAGAAGAAAAGAAAAGCAGCTAGGATTTGACATTAAACCATGCAATTTTTCTTTATACAAAAGGGTTTCCCGTCCCGTGACCCCTGGGTCCTTACACGCACCGCTCAAGGGAGATTGGAAAAATGCAGAGATCATGTGTGCTAGTTTGAAATTAAATGCCGGCGAATTTGGCTTCAGCTATGAATACAAGTAGCTACGGAAAAGAAAACATAATTTGTTTCATATGTGAGGTAGAAATTTCGTCGGTGAGATTTGTTTAAAAAAGTGGCATGATATACATGACCCTTAGCTACATGGCATCAAGGGTGTTGTTTTCCTAATTAATTAGAAGGAAAGCTTGCTTTGCAATGATAAATAATTGAAACCAGTACTTTTGAAAGAAGCTTTGATTACTGAAAGTCATCTAAAAGGTCAAATTATGAGCTGTGTAATTAGTATTAAGAAAAGAAAAGACATTTGAATATTATATAAACATATATCCATATGTTTCAAATTCACCCTTTTTGGTGCCCACCATCTGGTGAAGGTTTCTTTCTCAATGGTTTCATTCGAGTAATGAAAAAGGTGCTATCTTTTTAATTTTGAAAGATTGGGAAGGTTGCAAAACGTATGTGCTGAGAATGGCGTAGGCACTCCGTCATCATCATTACAAAATTAAAAATATTTATCCCATGCGTATGTTTATTTTTTTTTCTTATAATAACACGGTATATATATGTATTATTGTTTATATGATTATTTTATTAACTAAAAAATTCTCACATTAATCGGATAAAAAAATGTATTAATTATATTGTTGTCTATTTCATTTATCATCAATTGATCTCTAAATTAAAATGTGCACTTAATATTGGAGGTTCTAAAGCAATGAGATTGGATGCTCACATTTATGAAATATTAGATACATGGAAAAAGTATCATCTTCATTGTCACATGTGTGTATATGAATTATTTGTCTCACGGTTTCAACAACCATTGGAAAAACTTGTTAATAAGGCAAACCTTAATAAAGTAATTAAAAGAGATAATACCTCTTATACTTTGAAGAAATCATTTTGTTTGGAAGAGGAAAAAGTAATAATTAATTAATTAATTATAGCTTAAATGAGAAGGGATAAACACTAACCCAAGCTTATTGACGAAGACAGGTCTAAGATGGGCCCCAGCTGTAGCAAAAGAGAGCCCAATGGGCCTGGCGAAGTTTGTCAACAGAATGTCACAAGCTTAGTGCGTGCCAGTACCTAACCGCCAAAAGTGGTGGGGCTGCCGCGCGCAACGGTGGTCGGGTGGTGGCTGAGGAAGAGCACTCATCAGATGATAACTGTTTAACACCTTAGCTCATGCCATACGACAATCAATAAGTGTTTTTGTTTTGTTTTTTTTCTATGGTCGGCACGTATTATGCAAGTCAAACTAAATTTATCTTTTTAATTTAATTAAAGATAATTATGTGCATATTATTAGAAAAAAATTTATAACTTGAATTATATTGAATTATAAAACATTAATTATTAATCGAATGATAAAAACCTCTTGGTTTTGGAAGCGAACCTTTCCATCTAATGATTCTCGCCTACAAAACACTCAACTAATGTTAGTATTAGATACCAATAACCTAAATAATTTAGTAGTCATCTTTTTTCTTTTGCTGAAAGTAAGAGATGTTGAATTTGAGGCACATGTTATGCGAATGGAGTAAGATATATGATAAGAGATGATTGTCTCCCATTGTGCAATAAAAACAAATGTTAATATTAGATGATTTGTGCCAAAAATTACTTTTCTACGTCATTTCTAAAAAATTGAACCTTATTCAAAGGAGGTTAATTAAAAGCGAGCACTTTTGCTTATCAGATCAACCTCTTAAGAGTCGTGACAACACTGTCATATATGGATAGCTCGTAATACCCCGTTTGGGCATGTTTTAATACCACTTTTTGATCTTGTTATGTCTCTTCTTCTTGTTGTTGTACTTTTATAGATGTTCCAAAACGTGCACAGTGTGCATTGCCTGGCTGGTTTTGGAATTCCATGTGCTCCCAAGAATTCTGGCTTTACGTGCCCCAAATTATTGGGTAACTCATTTACTTTAATCCCATCTTTAATTCATTTTCATTTTCTTCTGTAACAAAATCCTGTATAAATCTGAATTCATTTCCGTAGAACGCAGATTCTGGGGTTCTACTTCGCATCTAAAGGATTTTATTAAATTTAGATTTTGGAGTCAAACATATAAAGAAATTAATTTTTTTGAATGCATTAAATATGCATTAAATTAATTTAAGAATTACGTTCTTAAGTTCATTTAAGAGGAATAATCTAATAGTAAATACAGAAAAAAAAATTTTATTGTAAATCCAAACTCTCAAATCCACTCCCTATAGACAGATCCAAAAAAAATAAAAATAAAAATAAATTATCCATTTAAATTGTTAATTGAGATAAATAATTTATTATTTAATAATCTATATAATTATATGAGTATTTATTTCTATTGACAATTTAAATAAATAATTTACTCCTACCTTATTTTAAGAGACAATTATGCCCCTATTTTAATTTAAAAATTCAATTATCTAAATTATACAATAATTTTTTCATCTTTTAATATAAATCTCTAATTTTTACATGCCCTTCACCCTCTAAATTTAAACTAAATTTTCTATCATAGAAATTTAAATTTTAAACCTGTAATCTCCTAAATTCAGCGGTAGAGTAGTCCTTACTCCCAATGATATAAACTAGGCATAAATTGCAGCTCGTTGCTTCGATTGTCAAACTTGTTCCCTAACTAATTTCATACTTTGATTACGGATAACTTTAATTATTCCTTTGTTATCTCTAGATAATAATGAACAATTATTGAATTTTAAAAATTAATGAACAATAAACACTAAAACTTTTAATTACCCTAACCTCGAAAACTGGAAACTGGAAAAGATGTGACTCGTGAGTAACCCGCCTGGGATTTGGTGGTGAAATGGTCAGCAATGTCCCGTGGCATGCAGATCGGTGCGCTATTAAAAAAAAAAGTCACATCCCAAATTGCAAGTTGCTACTCCATTTAAATCATTTGAATTCATGAGTTCCGCAGGGTAGATTTTTTTTTTCTTTTTAATGTTTGTTGTATATTGGAAGATAATTATTTTTTATTTTTTATTTTATTTTAATATATATCATGTAATTTGAATTTAAAATTTATTATTTTTAATAAAAAAATTATTATTAAATTATTCAGATAATAGATAATTCACAATGTAAATTAAAACTGAAATTTATATAAAAAAGATACTACAATATTAAAATTTTGATTTTTGTTTAAAATTTAAAAATTTATAATTTAATATAATTTAAGTGGCTAAATAGTTTTTTTTTTTTTTTATGAATTTATTTTTCCTGTTAAATGCAAGTTTAGAATTTTAACCTCCCACGGCAAATTCCCCTCACAAAACTCAATAACGAGTGCTTCCAAGATCCTCCCCAAATTCCATGTCAGAAATTAAAAGTTGTTGTCCTCTTCTTCCTCTCACCATGTGAACCCACAAGCAGGTACTAGGCTGCTAACTTTCTTTCCCCTCTGGGCCCTTCCTTTATATAAACCCGGCTTTGGTACTACTTTTCTTCACCTCTTTGGAGAATTCCCAGATGGGTTTTGGGTGGAAAGTCTGGTTCTGTTTCTGCTTCCTGCTCTTGCTTGGGCTATTGCAGGGAGCAAGAGCAGAGCATCAGTATTATAATGTGAGCAGATACAGAGGCAAGAAGCAAGTGAGTGGGTGTAGTCTGTTTCAGGGAAAATGGGTTTTTGATGCTTCTTACCCTTTCTATGAATCTTCAAGCTGTCCCTTCATAGACCCTGAATTTGACTGCATCAAGTACGGTAGACCTGATAAACAGTTCCTCAAATACTCCTGGCAACCTGATTCTTGTAACGTTCCCAGGTCAGTTTTCTCATTATGAACGTTTTAATGTACTTTTTCAATCAAGCTACAAGTTTAGGATTTAAGGTTTGAGAAATTAGAAATGTGAAGTTTGATTTGGGTCTTGTTTGTGCAGATTTGATGGGGTGGATTTGCTAGGAAGATGGAGGGGGAAGAAAATAATGTTTGTGGGTGACTCACTGAGTTTGAATATGTGGAATTCGTTGGCTTGTATGATACATGCGTCGGTGCCTAATGCTAAGACAAGCTTTGTAAGGAAGGACCCTTTGTCCTTTGTTGCCTTTGAGGTGAGTTTGTTTTTCCCTTTCCACTGCATCAGACTGAATTTTCTTTTTCCATCGCCAAATTGCATAAGACTGACTGATGAAACTTTGTCTGCTTTTCCATGATATTGGATTTCTTCCCCTTATTCTCTGTTCTTCACTTGTAAAAGTTCATCTTCAAGTATCATTCTTTGGTTTTCATGTCACCACCATCTTAAATATGTCACAAGTTAATAATAATTTAATATTTAATTATTTAAAAATTGGTTTAAGCAATCTCTTACTATTTTATTAGTTTTTTCAAAAGTGATGTTATTTTTATAGAATTAAAGTTCAAGACTTAAATTTTTATAATAACTACACATTAATTTCAAAAAAAAAAATTTATAATTTAATTTAGTAGTATTGCTTGGGTTGAGGTAGAGTCCAGGGGTGCACAAAAACTTAATTAAAAATAGAAATTTCTTTATTTGGGTTTATCCTATGCACTTTTGACTTCACAGTATACAAAAGTGTGAGAGAATAAAGGTATCAACTATGCACTAAGTAGTAGTCATTATGGAGTTTCACTATTGTATGGGTTAGTGTTACTGAGCTAAATTTTTTTTTTTATAAATCTCACCCTAAATCTCACCCTAAATCATATGTACAATAGACATAATCATCAAATTTTAAATTCAAATTTTAGAGTATTTTATTCTTAATTAAGGTAGCTAAAATGTTGTTATTAGTTATACCTGAATCTTTGTTTTTCAAAATGTCAAACGGCCTTTTTGTTCATATTTATAAAGAATAAAATAAAATACGAAGGGGCCATTACGACCTACTACTGTGTCAGTGACAGCTACTACAAGCAATTTGACAGCCTGTACATAATTATAGTCCACCTTCTCAAAAAAACAAAAAGAAAAAAAAGAGAGGTTTTTCTAGCTGTTTATGTAATTATTACTACTCCTAAATAATAAATCCTCTATTTACTGTTGAAATTATTAACCGAAAAACTCTTCCAACTCTGACTCAGAGTAAAGTTTATTAGTAATAATGATAATTATTGTTCTTTATTTATGACTCAATCACAAAATATGTCGGTGCCCATTATGAAATTACTATAGTACTTATGAATTTTCTTTCTATATAAATCATTAATGATAAGCAAGTAATTTTACTATCTATATTATATTTTTTAACGAGAAAAACTGTTAATTGCACAACAAGAACTTTTAAAATAAGGGATGAATTTTCTGATATTAGAAAATTTTTTTTTTCATTTAACTACTTTTATTTTGAAATTTAGTATCAAGTTAAATTGTAAAATAAAAATGTTTTTTATAATCTAAATTAGAAAACTAAATTTTTTTTTTTAATGGTCGACTAACCATTTTTTTATATTCAGGATTATGGAGTAACTATTTATTTATATCGGACTCCATACTTGGTAGATATAGTTAAGGAGAACGTAGGGCGAGTATTGATGTTGGATTCGATCAAAGGTGGAAATACATGGAAAGGGATGGATGTGCTGATTTTCAACACCTGGCATTGGTGGACCCACACTGGAAAATCTCAACCGTATAATCTTCGTCATTATTTTTTTTTTTTTTTTTTGGTTAATCTCTATCCCCTTTGAGGTATTGAAGAAATCAATTTGTTGATGGTTGTTGATGTTTTTGCTTCATGCAGATGGGATTACATCCAATATGGGGAATCATTGCTGAAAGACATGGACCGTTTGGAGGCATTTAACAGAGGGCTCACCACATGGGCTAATTGGGCAGACGGCAATGTTGACACTTCTAAAACACGAGTCTTCTTCCAAGGCATTTCTCCAACCCACTATGAGTAAGTAAACAAACTTTAACTAAGCAAATTTGACTTAAGGAAAGCTGATTTGACCGTTCGCCTTATATGAATTACAGATTTTATGATTATTGATAAAGAAAAAATTAATTTAATATCAAAAAACTTATCCCGTCAATGATTATAAGAGCAGATTGCAGATCACTTTTTTATTTAATTTTAATGATATTTACTAACCTTAAGTAGAGTTTAGTGCATCCCATGAGGAAACGTTGGACGTGATGGTTTTTACAAAAAATTGATTGTGTTGTGCCAAAACAGGGGAAAAGATTGGTCCGAACCAAAGAAGAGTTGTTATGGACAATCAGAGCCGTTGTCTGGCCCTGCATATCCAGCAGGCTCTCCTCCAGCTGCAGCTGTCGTGAACAAAGTTCTGGGGACGATGAAGACACCAGTATATTTGCTTGATATAACAACGCTGTCGCAGTTGAGGAAAGACGCTCACCCCTCTGCCTACAGCGGCGACCATTCCGGCACAGACTGCAGCCACTGGTGCCTCCCGGGATTGCCTGATACCTGGAACCAGCTCCTCTACGCAGCTCTTGTTATGTGAAGGTCTCCAACAAACAACAGGGATTTTTACTTATTTTCTCAAAATACAATTTGTATATTTGTTATGGGAGTGCAGAAATTTATCATTTCTCCGATATGACAATAAGGGGGCGGAAAAGGAATCAACTGTAAAGTAATTGATTTTTTTCTCAAAGCAAATAATTGCTTTGAGGTGATTGTAAGTTTCTCTGTTTTTATCAGCAAAAGGGTTATGTGTTCTTATCAGCAAAAAGGTTATGTAATAGTTACATCAAGGTAAGACCAAGGTAAGGCTTCTAATGAAATAAAAGATATGTTAAACAACAAAAGCCAGATTCAATAAAAAAGAAATTCTTATTTTATAATTTAAATTGTATTAAATTATAAAATAAAAATCAGTGTATATTAAGATAATCCAATATTAAGAAACACACCCTCATCTTATAGTAAATGCTGTGTGGTCCAATTTTGAGAAGAAAGTAAGAGAATTTGATAATTTTATTTAAAAAAACGTTGTCATCAAGTTAGGTGCTGTAGCTTATATTGGAAACTCAATCTTCTAAAAAAATTGAATTAGAATAATTTAAAATTCAATTACACTTCCCTCGGATAAATTTTGTGTTGTGCGTCGTACTCAT